AATCTTATGGGTAGGTTGGTCGTAGTTGCTGTTGTTACCTCTCGTAGTTTAGTAGTCAGAACATTGGTACGTAAGGCCAAAGGTCCCGGGTTCGATTCCCGACGGGGGTGTGACGACAGCAACAATTTTTCGCTCATTAATTTAAGGTAGCGTGTAGTAAGTAAAACATTCAAAAATTAGTTTTCAGATTAATATTTCATATTAAATAACTCACTTCTAAAAGTTGTCTAAATTGTATGTATATAAACGCTTTTATCCATATGACGGGCAACTCTATAGTAAGGATACAATTAATCAGAGAAACAAAAAAATATTCAAATAAAGGTAGTACAAGGGTTGTTTCCTTTTTAACCTCCAATATGCCATAAGTTAAATTCAGATCAATCAGGAAAAATACGTTTTATCAAGTACTGAAAGTTATATACAATTGTAATTACTTTTCAATAAAACCACCTTGCCGATTGAGACACTTGTGCCTGTGGACAAGCTCTTCAGTACCTTCTTCAAAAAATGTTACCGGTAATGATTTTAAATCAGTCTTGACGTTATCTTGAAGCTCCTCGTTAGTTTAGAAACTTATTCAATTCAGGAGAGGATGCATTTCACTTGTTGCTAGGTCGGGGCTGTATGGCGGGAGGTCGAAAATGCCATATTGAAATTGCTCCAAAAGCCGTTTGGTTGCATCAGCGTTATAAGGGCAGGTATTGTCCCGGTTCAGAATAATTCCAAAGTCAGTACCTATGTCTTTTTTTGTTTTAAAAAGCTAATATAAGCACCGAGTGGTTTCTGTTTTTTTCTGCTTTCAAACTGACGAGGATGTTCAAAACAAGATCAAAACTGTAGAAAATACCACAAATGACGCGGTAAACGCCATCTGTAGTACGATGCTACATATTAGGATTACGTATGCTCCAACAAGGTCCATTTAAATATATGGATATCTACTTCCTAAAACGAATCCCGGCGTAGCTAACCTCAACGTGAGAGGCACGTTACCATAATCGAATAAAGACGCCAGACGCGGATCGCGATTTCGCACAGTTTCGACAGAATACAGACCACTTCGAATTATTTTATTTATTTTCTAAAACGCTCTGTTAAGACAGCCGGTAAAAGTTGGTCTGTATTCTGTCGGAGCTGCCTGCGACGCGCTGATGAGATCCAAAAAGATCGAAATCGCAATCCGCGTCTGGCAGTTTCGACAGAATACACACCATTTCGAATTATTTTATTCAACATCAAAACTGATTTAGATTCACTGACGGCAATATCTTTTGAAGAGGGCATTGGAAACCTTGTTCACAAGTACGCAAGTACCTCAATATGTCTCTAAGTAGTCCTTCATGCCTGAGAAAGTGTCCTACCAACCTATCTCACCTATTCCTTATTAACTTCCACAGAGCTTTCTGTTCTCCTACTCTTTCTAATTTCTAACCTTCTCTATTCATAGTATCCTCATTATTCGTCTGTAAAACCACACTGCACCGGACAGCACCCTGCTCCAAACATACACCTTTAGCAACCTTTTTCAAATTTCTAAATTAACCGTTCGCGAGCACAGGTGTGACTTCTTTTTGTTAAAGGCGATGCTATCTTGCGCTATCCTTTGCTTTATATCTCTGCTGCTCCTTCCGTCCTAAGTTATCTGACTTCCTAGATCATCATCAATCAGCTACAACTTTCAGTAATAATTTCTTCTTTTTAGATTTATTTAGAAGAAACACACCTGTCATCTACTGTTCGACAACCGTTCGAGAAGTGAGATGTGCTAGTCTTTAGAGAAATGCAAAGATTGATATGTAGGTTTGAAAAAGGGATGGTGTGTGTCTAACCTATAGTGATGATGTAACCATCATTACTCCTATATTCTTTAAGTTTACATTTATGGTTAATGTTCCCATTTGCAATAGGCATGGCCGCTATCAAACACACAAGCTTATACAGAGGAAAGCAAACGAAGCACTAATTTCTGATTCGTTTTTTAAACAACCAAAACGTCAACCAACAGTCAACTCTCCCTACGTTTATCAAACCTGTCCTTCACTTTACCACATTCCCATCAATAATTATCGCTCATTTATGAATCTAACTCTAATAAAATATTTAACATGACTTTTTCTGTCCATCCCTATACAAAGTATAAACTACACCCTTGATCAGGCGGATCCCATTTGCAATGTCTTTTACAAATACGCTCTAGGAAAGGGTGTCAATCCCAAATACAATTTTGTTAAGAATCGATTTCCCAAACAGGTGCACTGTTACAGAATAACTTAAAATATTCTAGAGCCTACAAGTCTACTTGTTATAAAAATAACTAAGGGAAATAAAAAGAAAATAGAAACAACCGTTCTGAAGATTATCTGTGTCTGAACAACTACCACGAATAAACATTTGATGATGATACATAACCCTTGAAATGGCGGCCCTTTTAAGCAAAGTGCCTTTCTTTGTTTACCAATCAGGAACTATCGTTTTGATTGACGTTCGTAATGCATCTATTGCGTTACCATTTTTCCCGCTACTGTCTCCGGGGACTGCACCGATGTCTAACACGAAATCAAGGGGTAGCAGCCCCTCGTGTATTCCCCGGCAGTAATGGATATTGTAGGAAAACAACAAGTATCGCACCGTGGATGGATATACGATAACCATGCTGAAATTGATTTATGTAAATGCCAGGCAAAAAGCAAACTTAAATCGAAGGGAATTGACGGAAGCGGGTTTTGGCAGAAAATGTCCACCGACATTCTGAACAATGACTCACGACGGCGACGTGAAACAATTAAGTAACAGGAGCTTACCTTAATGCATTATACGTAATGCTCTTGTTATGATCTTAAAGTAAAATTCTATTCTTTTTCGGTTCTCATATACAGGTAATATATCGCTGTCCATTAAACAAGGTAATTTCAATTTTTTTATTATATTATACAGTAAATAATCTTTAGCACTTTAAATTGTTTAAAATAGCTATTGTATTGACAGCTTGTTTTAAGTTAATTAGTTTTCCTTCAAGAAGCTGGCTTATAAATGTATGCTGTACTTCCTTATTAAATTAAAAGAAAGAAATGGGGACCAATTGCAGTATTGATAAATAATAGAATTTTGGAGCCTCTCCTTAAAATATAAAAACTTAAGTTGGGTTATGGTTTGAATTAGTTTCTCCGACTAGTATGCCGTTATTTCCACACTTTTTGGTCAAAATGTAAACAGGAAATTAGGACAATTTATAAGCATTTGGACGTTTTCGTATCCACCCCGACCGATATAACATCTTTTACTTTTCTACTTGTTGCAACGACAACATTGTTCGAATGATATACACTGACAGCGAGCTGAGAACAGAACGTAGAAATGTTTTCTTATATACAGTTATCAAAAGGCGGCATCATCTTTTGAAAAATACGACGTGGTATAGGAAAATTCGTACAAATACCTTCAGACATCTTCTCTTATAAACAATAAATGCAATTCGTCCAACTTTAATAACTGCAGATATTTATTGTAAAGAATTAGAAATATTTTATAAATAGCGTTTCTCGATATTTTATCTAAAGCCATCAATGTGTAATCAATATCGATAAATTACCAGAAATTTCCACATTCACGTATTGATATCGTGATTCTTCTTTCCTGTTCTGAAGGAATTGTTCCACAACGAATACTAAAAAGGTTAAAGTGTATATTTTTGTAAACAATTCCTGTAGCACGGTGCCTTATTTTATGGCAAATAACCCGCTCGTTCATTTTCCTTCCGCGTATCCATCTTTTTGAAAGGGCAATAATACTTTCGGTGCACATTTTCTCGCGGAAGGAGCAAAGCAGAAAATATTCCCGCGGGATCCAGGCAGTTTTTCTTGCACTAACTTTATTTACTACAAGAAGGAACGCGTCCGCTTTTTTTTCGTGCCGTCGACCGCGGCCCCGACGAATCCGCAAAAGCGTCGTCCCCCAGGGGCTGTTTTGGCCCTCGTGAAATATGAAAAGTACCCCCTCAGGTACGCCCGAAATTACGAAAAAGCACACTTCCACCCTTATCAAGACAAATTGTTTATTTAAAGGGCATTACCGCGTTTTTATGACGATGTCTAAATTTGATCAGGGGTTAGTGGTATGTGTGTATACGCACGTCACAACATGCATCTCAGAATCAGCAAACCGACCCTCTTATGGGGTTGAAATCCTGGGGATTCAACAGTTGGCGGGGATGATGAAGATTCAGAAATAACATCGAATTTAAAAAACAACCAAAACATTCAGTCTTTTCAATCGCAAAAATTCCTTTGAAGTTAGTTATTTTTCTTTTTTGTTTCATTTGAAACTAGCTGTGCTCATAGCTTCACCCGTTTGGAGTTCAATTATAAAAGTCATATTTTATCAATATGTGAATTAACCATAACACATAGATAATATATGTACGTCATCCTAGACTCTTTTACAGGCCTTTTTGAGCCCTACCACTTCTACTACAATAAACTCGTGTACTTTATTGTCGTTATTACTGTAATATTGATGAAAGAACAGTTGCAAAAGTAGGGGAAGTCCGGGAGACTTGCTCAGGTGGGAGAGTTGAACCACCTTTTAACACTCAACTTAAATTTCGCGCTAACGAAACGCCAAGACGGTCATTGGTAGAACAGGGGAGGCCAATAACCAGCGCGCCACCATTTTTTACAATGGCCCGTTTGTTTGGCTCTCAAGTTCGGAAATGTGTTTTTGTTACGGCGGAGTAAATTTTATTAATTTATGTAGTTTTGAAATTGCGACCGTGTTTATAAAGGTACGTATTGTGTCTCATTACTATTGTACTGCCTGATTATTGTAGTTTGACGTGAGCTAAGTGTTTTTTCGCTAAGTTTGATTGTATTTCCTGTGAGTAAAATTTAATGTCAAAGTAGTATATGCGGGAGGCTTGAACCATGGTGGGTGCGGGAGATATGCTCAGTGGTTCATGTCTCCCTCTATAGTGTTTCTATGAGGATTTTTGAAGTTTTATTTTATAGATGTAGAAATTTAAAACTTTGTGAAGGTGGTTCGATAAGGTCCAGCTCTAAGGAATGTATGCTAGCAATGCTCTGGGTCATTACACCTTGATTCTGAATGACAGTAGCCATCTTTGTAGCTTCCATTGCTATTAAAGTTGATTCTGTCATAGTGTTACTGTCTAATGAAGAGAAATCATTCGACTTTTTGTCTTCTTCCTTATCCTGGCCATCAACCGAATCAACAGTGAGTATTTCTTGGGGTTTAAAATCTTCTGGGGGTGTATCAGAATCACTTTTGAAGGTAATAACATTTGGAGCACTCCCTGATACACTGGGGAAGGAAACATCATCGTCATTCCATGTATCACCCTCGAAGGTGGTTGATATTGTCGATTTATCTTTATTGAGATGGACTTCGGCCTGAGAGACAAGTTCTGCTGTAAATCGATCCAACGACTCTATCATTGCATCAGGATCGAGCATTCGATTATCAATTTTAATGTCAGTTGGTGTTTTATCGTCTTGTTCGGATATTATTCGTGTTTCATAACCAGATTCATCGTCAGTTCTCGCCGTGTTAGACCCACTCTTCGTGAGTACGGTCGAGCACCTTTCTTCGGAATGTGAACACCGGTTGTCCCGTATTGCTATATTGTTTGGTGTTCGCATCCCTTGATCCTCTGGGTTGTGATTCGGCCCTGGAGCGGACTCGGTTGCGGTGTTTTCGCCGCCTGCCACCGTAGCTAGAAGATCGGGACACATTTCGCCTTTCTTTGGCACCGTGATCCCGGCAGCAGACGTGACAAATACGTTTTTTGAATTCGTCTTTGTCAACTTTATTTCTTCCAAATCCTCTTCCTGCCACAAGTCCTTCTCCCTTTCCCTTTCGCTCCAATTAATGGGACGAAAGGCGAAATCGCGTTCTCTCTTGGTTAATTTAGGCGACTTCGTGGAAGATCCTGTGGGAGCTGGTGAAGATTTTTCGCAGACATTTTGAAGTTTATTTTTCGGCATAGCAGACGATATACATTCCTCTAAAAGCGCTTGCTCTTGTTCTGTCGGTTCAAAGGATTCTACGCTAAGAGAAGAAAGGGAGTCTCTTCGAGAAAGATTGACGTTCGAAATGTTCCCTTAAATGAATAAATAATATTATTATTATTGGAAGGGGTAGGCACCAACTATTGATACTACTACTACTTTATAAGAGTCAAAAGAAGTACAAACAAATAACGATTATTTCATCACAACGTTATGATGTCTAGTCTAGTCTAGTGAATGAACGAACGAATTAAACCGTAAAAACTGTTTTGCTTCGGTGAGTTTAATACGGTATTAACTATTAATCATCATTTGACTTAGCGTTTCCGTTCGATTAAACCTTTAACAACTTAAAAAAGGCGAGTGTACACAAACTATTTCCTTACCTCTTTCCAACGCGCTGGGGCCAGCAACTGAAAGAATTTCTTCAGATTTTCTTGCTTTCTCTTCCGTCTCCCCAACTGCATTGTTAATTCGTCTGGGGATAAAACAAGAAGCAAACAAATAATCACTCACTCCATTAATTGAAGAGAAGTAGAGATCCTTCTTACCTGGCAACACCACACACGCTTCCATCTATAGTCAAGTCTGATAGACTGGACCTTAATGAAAAATGACAAGGACTATTTTCAACAGCGTATCTTTCCGTTTCGTCCTTGGCCCCCAAAAAACATGATGGGTTAATCCGTTTGACTACGCCTTCTTTACGTGCAGCCCCTTCCGTATTAGGCCTATTTCGTGTCTTGACAAGTGGTGTACTGGTTTGCATATGCGGCTGCGTCACTACCACATTTCCAACGTCGTTGGGTTTTAAGCGTGGCTTCGGCATGGCCGATTGGATACATTCGGCCAGTAGGGCACTGCTGCTATCGTCTGAGAGGTCGTTCGTCTCGTCTGTTTTCGTAGGTGGCGATTCNGTTTCTTGATAATTTAATTTCATTTTGTGATGTTTTGTTTAAAATATCTGTGATTTAAGCTGCAAAATGTTCCACTTTAAAAATGTCCCTAAGGATGGGGAGAGTTGACTCATATCCCATTTTTGATTCAAATATATATATCACATTTCAGTACTATAATATCGAAAAAGTAATTATGCATAAGTAAACCTAAATAAATAAGCTACATAATACACTACACTAATAAACAAAAAGCGGTTCAAATCTCCCGGACTTCCCCTAACTACCCAGAATCTCATGTTCCTTTCGTACGTTTACTGGTACATGTAATTTGCGATAGCGATTTGGCTGGAGTTCCAGAAACGGACGAACCTAGGTTAAGTAAGGTTAGGGTAGATTCATATTGAGTCGTGATACCTTTCGTCAGATTTTTTACGTTACCGTCATAAGGTCGTCAGACTAGTTAGACACGCACCTCCACTCTTTCCTATTCTGAGCTATCATTCCCATTTCTCTAAAACTAGAAAATCCCACATCCTTAACTATTTACGAACAGTAATCTTATCTAGGTCTATTTTTACCCCTCAGAGTAGCCCTTCATGCTTAAGAAGGTGCCTTACTAACTTATCTCGCCTATTACTTACTGATTTCCATAGAGTCCTGTGTTCTCCTATTCTTTCTAATACCTCTTCATTTTTAACCTTCTCTAGAATGATTAAATATTTATTTATTAGTACAATAATTTGGCCAAAACTAAGGTAATAGGTATATTACCAAATATATTTTACGCTAGTATATAGTTTACACTAGCAAATTTTTGACAATATTGAAGAAGCTACATACTACAATAAGAAACAGTGCAATATTTTATAAGGTTGGGTCTTCTTTCAAACAGTAATAGTCATACAGTGGAGTTGCAAACATACTAATATTATAATATTTAAATATTTATATAGAGTATGCGATTAAAACTATGTTGGAAAATGTACTTTACATCTATGTAATGCCAATATTAGCAAATTTTGGTTAATGTTGTTTGTGTGAGGCGCTTAGGTTTTTTAAATTTCGGTTACTAACGATTTACCCAAAATCAATGCCAGGACAAGAACACAAACTCACTTCTGTAAATTTTGTCTGCATCTTTCTCAAATATCAGGTGAATCATCATCATAAGGACGTCAGTCCTAAGAGTGGTTGGACACGCACCTCCACTTTTTCTTATCCTGAGCTAATCTTCGCATTTCCCCAAAACTAGAGCATCCCACATCTTTAACTATTTTCGAACAGTAAGCTAATTTAGGTCTACCTCTACTCTTCGTAACGCCCATTTCTGCCTCTAATAAGTCTCTGACCAGACCTTCATGCCTGAGAAGGTGTCCTACCAACCTATCTCGCCTACTTCTTATTGACTTCCATAGAGTCCTCTGTTCTCCTATTCTTTCTAATACCTAATCATTTCTAAGCTTCTCTATCGACGCTATCTTCTTCATTAGCCTGTAACATCACATTTCGAACGCTTCTTACATTTTCTTTTCCACCGCTCCCACTGTCCATGTTTCGCACCCGAACAGCGCCTCGCTTCAAAGATACACCTTTAACAACCTCTTTCAAATTTCTAAATTAACCTTTCGCCAGCATAGAAGTGACTTCTTTTTATTGAAGGCGACTTGACCCTCTGCTATCCTCACCTTTATATTCCTAATACTCCTTCCTCCTGATTTATCTGACTTCCTACGTACCGAAAATCAGTCACTTCTTCTAATTTTTCGTCTCCTGTCTTTATATTCGCTCTTTCCCTACTTTTTTTTCCCTTGCATGTCAGTATTTTTGTTTTACTTTTATTTATTTTCATACAGTACTGATCTGTCAATACCGCTTCCATTTTATTTAAAGCTATTTCTAACTCCTCTTTGCTGGATGGTAACTGCTGTATCATCTGCAAATCTAAGCATAGTAATCTTTTGCCCCTGTAGGCGAGTATTAGATTTTAAAATATTAATAAGAATGTCACAGTTTGATCTTAATATGATTAAGGAACACTTACATTGTTTTCATATCTGAACATATAATTTTGGTCTCTGTCAATGTTTAGGATAGTATTGTTTAAAATTTTTACTGACTTTGAATTCAGCCTAAGTCAACATCTAGGCCACCAGCAAACATTCCTCTGTGTTCTGTTTAGCTTTCGTGTTTATATTTTTTCATAAATCTACGTGTATGTAGGTGTATAAATATGACGCTGGTATGATACACTGCATCATGCTTAGTAGGTAAATCTACTTTTAAATAAATTTACGTTAGCGTCGTAGTAGAGATCTTTCAAACTATTAATTTAGCTGGGCCGAATTACTGACATGTGTTCATTGTCCATTGGAAAAAAATTGACGTATACTAAAATAGGTTAGGTAAGGTTAATTCGTTTTATAGGAATAACCTCCGTTTACCGTTTTGGTAATGCCCCATTCTTTATTACTTACAGCAGAAACTTGTGCATTCTTATAAAAGTGCCATGTGCTTAAAATTCAAGTTTGAGCGTGTGACAATACGTGTCTTCTCTATCCAGCATTAAATAATTGATTACATTGTTCCCGTTCATGTGAACGCCCATATACATATATCCTCATTCAGTTCAGTTCGGTTCGGTTTGGTTCGGTCACAGCATAAAAGTACGTACATAGTTTCGTCTCTCGAAAGTCAGGCGTCTGCGATTTATGAATATTACTACAAGACTGTTCCCGAGGGTCCCTCACAAGCACCGATAATATAAAAGAGATGGCAGACGCTTTACTTAATATTTCAACGAGATGGCTACAACGATGGCTCCAACCTCCCTGCACATACTGCTTTACCTTTATATATATAAAAAAAAGAGAAAAACGAAGCAGTAACAAAGCTGATACGGAAAAAATAAGGTCATTCACCGTGACGCGAGAGACTCAGTTATTTATGTTCTGAAATGCGGCTGGCTCTAACAGTGGTCCATTGAATGTCATTGTAATAAATAAACCACTTCAATTATAAAGCGAACAATAATTAATTAAGGCTTTTCATGAGTAAGTGCAGACATGGTGCATAAAAGAAGTAGGTAGAATGAACCCGGTCATCGTATAAAGGTTTACAAGGCTATTTTCCAGAATTTCTTTCATGAAAATGCGTGACTTTCCGTCTCCCCAGATAAAGGGATAAAGGGATAAGAACAGAAAGAGTATAAGTAGAATTTACATGGCTTTGAGATATTTATACCAAAAGTTAAATGACTAATAAGTTCCGTAATCAATTGGTGTGCAAGTCATTTTAATGTGTTTCTCCTTACTTATTTCAAATTTATGTACTAAATGGATAAATCCAAATTTTTTCTTTTCGCTAAAAAAATGTACTTGCACCCTTTCGCACTGAATTCATCTACATTTTTAAAGCTGTAAAATAGAAACAAACGAATTCGAAAGATTTTATTAGAAGAAAACATGGAAAAACATGAAATTATATGTTTTCATAGTCCGTATTGTAAGTCATATCACATTAGTTATCTAAAATAGTTTTAGTAGATGTGGAGGATGTACTTAATAGCAAGTTAAATCGTGTTTTTTGTTAGTTTCTGGTTTTATTTAAAACTGGTGATATTTTAAAGATATACGTACAAATTTTAATGTGAGATCGGTAAAAATGTGGTCTAGTTGGTGCCAATCCACTAATGCGGGGAGAACATCCAGAGAGATAAAAAAGGATAGGTGTCATCCAGTCTTAAGTTAAATTCAAAGAAGTGAGTATCCAACCCTTTGAAGTATGAAATAATTCTGAACTTCAAGTCGTTTTTGGATCACTCATTAATGCTTGCAAAGACGCAAAGTAATAACATCTCCTTTTTGCATCTCATGCACCAAAAACTCCGATTTGATAGGGTCACATCAGTGCTGCTGTACAAATACCTCAAGTTTTCTTCTTTTGCATTTTCTATAGTACCAAACCCCCGATTATACTCTTTGTAAGTATGGTCAAGCTCAAAACATTTGCGGTGAATGAATACTGTCAACTATATATCGGACAATAATCGAATCCGGATTCGTAAGAATTTATCCGATTGTAACAATTTCATGTCTGTAGTTGTTAACAGTCAAAAAATATTATTTGATTTGAAAGTTAATTTGTCCACTCGCGAAACTGGTAAATTAGATATAAAACTTTCAATTTAAAATAAGTTATTAGAAACTTTTACCTGCCATTTATTTATGAAACTAGCTCAATTTTGAATTTGAGTAAAAGTCATACATTGGGTTTTTGGAGGATCGAAAGTCGATTATTTTCGAGCGAAACGTATTTGAAAGTACAGGTAAGAGCCAATCCGACCCTAGTAAGATCACGCAGGGAAAAACGGCACAGCAACGCCGCATTCAATCAACTGCCTCATAGCAGCATCGATATTGTACTTCTTTTGTATTTTTGGCCTCATGTTTGCTGTTTGCTAGATAAGATTAAGTGTAATTGACGTTCTTTATGTCTACAGTCAGCCCAGGGTACCTTTTTGTACTTTTAATGTTGTAAGCTTGTATTACGTAAGTCATTAGAAGTAAGTCAATGTATCAGTGTTATAGGTAAGTGTAGAACAGTATTATTGCATTAACCAGTACGTGAGTTTCTGGGCCCGGCTGAAGAGGACCCTAGTTGGTTCTAAAACGGCCTGAGGTAGAGGGGTTTTAGTCGGTAGGTCCGAGAACTCCGGAATCCGACACTATCCAGTCGTACGGACGGCTGGGTGTCTTCTGAAGATTTCCCCCCTTCCACGAAAACAAAAAAAAAATTCTGGGCTCTGGATTGGGCATACGGGTCATATACCTTGGCTAACCTTGCCGACTTCAGATGTAACGACGAGTTTATGTGTAGCGACTGTTTTTAATGAATCTTTTAGCCTGTAACGGCTTTCGAATATAACGACAAAACTGCAGTGGTCCCTTCGTCGTCGTTATACCCGAAATCCACTGTATTAGGTACTTATTATTACTCGTATTCTAGGGTATTATTATTGTAATTATGAGATATTAATGTGTAC